ACCAAAATAGAACTACCCTACGGCATATTATCATTAAAACAACAAGGACAGAAACTAGAAAAGAATATTGAAGGCTGTAAGAGAGAAAAAACAAGTAACATAGAAAGGTAAACCCATCAAAATTAAAGCAGACTTCTCAACAGAAACATTAAAGGCAAGAAGAGCTTGGGGTAAGATCTTCTGGGCACTGAAAGAAAAGTACCTCAACATTATAAAAATTATAGATGACAAACCTACAGCCAGCATTATACTTAATGGAGAAAAACTGAAACCATTCCCTCTAAATCAGGAACTAGACAAGGATGCCCACTATCTCCACTCATATTCAAGATAGTACTGGAATTCCTAGCCAGAGCAATTAGGCAAGAAGAAGGAATAAAAGGAATACAAATAGGTAAAGAAACTGTCAAATACCCTATTTTGCAGATGACATGAATCCTTACCTTAAAGACCCACAAAAACTCTACTCCAAAAGCCCTCTAGACCACCATCAATAGTACAGCAAGGTAACAGGATTAAAATCAACATAGAAAATCATTAACATTTCCCTATATACTATATAACACAACTGAACGAAAGAATATACTGAAACAATTCTCATTCTACAATAGCCTCTCAAAAAAAAATATCAAACCACCTATGTAAATCTAAAAAAGGATGTAAATGCTCGTACAAGGGAACTACTACCAACTTCTGAGAAAGAGATTGAGGAAGACTATAGAACAGTGGAGAATCTCCTCCATCCAGTGGCTCATCCCGATTGGTATAGAATCAACATAGTAAAAATGTCTATAACTCCCAAACGTAATCTCATCGCCTTTTAATCGCAATTCCCACCAAATTCCAATGACATTCATTAAAGAGATTTGAAAAATCTACTGCTAAATTTATATGGAAACACATGAGCGCCACAAAATAGCCAAGGCAATACTCAGTCAAAGAACAACGATACCTGACTTCAAACTATATTACAAAGCAATAATGAAAAAACAGCATGGTACTGGCACAAAACAGACATGAAGACCAGTGGAACAGAATAGAGGACCAAGATACGAAGCCACACAACTATAACCAACTTGTCTTTGACAAAGACGCTAAAAATATACGATGGAGAAAAGACAGCCTCTTCAACAAAAACTGCTGGAAAACTAGTTAGCAGACTGCAAAAAACTGAAACTAGATCCATGTATTATCACCCTACATCAATATTAACTCAAAATGGATCAAGGATCTTAATATCAGACCACAAACTCTAAAGTTGATACAGGAAAGAGTAGAAAATACTCTGGAGTTAGTAGGTATAGGTAAGAACTTTCTCAATGGAACCCCAGCAGCACAACTAAGACTTAGCATAGATAAATGGGACCTCATAAAACTAAAAAGCTTCTGCTCAACAAAAGAAATGGTCTCTAAACTGAAGAGAACACCCACAGAGTGGGAGAAAATATTTGCCAGCTACACATCAGACACAGGACTGATAACCAGAATACAGAGGGAACTTAAAAAACTAAATTCTTCCAAAATTAATGAACCAATAAAGAAATGGGCAAGTGAACTAAACAGAGCTTTCTCAAAAGAAGAAATTCAAATGGCCAAAAAACACATGAAAAAATGCTCATCATCTCTAGCAATAAAGGAAATGCAAATTAAAACCACACTAAGATTCCACCTCACCCCCTGTTAGAATAGCCATCATTAGCAACACCAACAACAGGTGTTGGTGAGGATTTGGGGGAAAAAGGAACCCTCTTACACTGTTGGTGGGAATGTAAACTAGTACAACCACTGGAAAAAAATTTGGAGGCTACTCTAAAAGCTAAACATTGATCTACCATTTGATCCAGCAATACCACTCTTGGGTATATACCCAAAAGACTGTGATACAGGTTACTCCAGAGGCACCTGCACACCCATGTTTATTGCGGTACTATTCACAATAGCCAAGTTATGGAAACAGCCAAGATGCCCCACTACTGACAAATAGATTAAGAAAATGGTATTTATACACAATAGAGTTTTATGCAGCCATGAAGAAGAATGAAATGTTATCATTTGCTGGTAAATAGATGGAATTGGAGAACATCATTCTGAGTGAGGTTCGCCTGGCCCAAAAGACCAAAAATCATATGTTTTCCCTCATATGTGGACATTAGATCAAGGGCAAACACAACAATGGGATTGGACTTTGATCACATGATAAAGTGAGAGCACACAAGGGAGGTATGAGGATAGGTAAGACACCTAAAAAACTAGATAGCATTTGTTGCCCTCAATGCAGAGAAACTAAAGCAGATACTAAAGCAACTGAGGCCAATAGGAGAAGTGGACCAGGAACTAGAGAAAAGGTGAGATCAAGAAGAATTAACCTAGAAGGTAACAGACATGCACCGGAAATCAATGCGAATCAACTGCCTGTATAGCTATCCTTATCTCAACTAGCAAAAACCTTTGGTCCTTTCTATTATTGCTTATACTCTCTCTTCAACAAAATTAGAGATAAGGGCAAAATAGTTTCTGCCAGGTGGGAGGAGATTAGGGGGGAGAAGGATGGGGCGGGGAGGTTAGGGAGGGGGTAAGGAAAGGGGGGGTGAAATGTCCCAAACATTTTATGCACATATGAATGATAAAAAAAAAATGAGACAATGGCATCATTCATCTTGATATGATGTGATGACTAAGACATATAATCACTTGCATAATATTCGTACCAAAATACATAAATGAATCTAATCACAAGAAATATCAAACAAAGCTTGTTCTCTGCAAAAATGTCAGTATCATGAAAGACAAAAAAGTTGAGAATTTCTGCCAGATTAAGAGATTAAAGAGATGTGCGTGTGACTGGGAACTGAACCTCAGGGAGGGAACTGACAGCTACAAAGGATATCACTGGTGAAGTTTGCATACACAGTGTACTAGAAACATTAAATGTCCTGAATTTGATAACTGTTCTGCGATTATGTGAGAGACTTTCCTTATATAATCATATAGCATTCAATTTATATATAGGTTTTGTGACTTACATGGTATACAGCAAATACATAGTAAAGTATACAGAAGAATCCTATCTGCAACTTACCCTCATAGGGTACAACAAACAAAACGTATATTCAGCAAGTAGACAGATTAGTAAATCTGGGTAAGGGTATTGAGGAATCTATTCTGGAAACTCATCAATAAATTTGGAAATATTTCAAGAGAAAACATTTTAAACACTATAAAAATAAATAGGCTATCTCTGGGTTGTATAACTTCAACTCATCTCTTTCTCTTTATGACAATTTGCATTTTGAATTTTTTACAATACAAATGTAATAATTTCAAAATCACAAAAGATGTTATTTAAGAAGGAAAACTGACCTTGTGCAATACAGTATAGCCAACATGTACTTCTCTGAATACTAACTTCACAGTTTGGTATACATGTTATAAATATAAATACTTGTGTTCTCTGAAACCATTTTAAACAAATTGCCACTTATTAGACTGGCTTGTTCTGAGTTTCATCACGTATTCATAGAGCCAACCTAGAGTCAGCTTTTCTTTAGCAATGTCTCACACAGTATTTTCAGAATGGAGAATCTTTAATTTTTTTATATAAACTTAACTCTAGCCAGATGTCATAGATGCCCCTAGGTATTTTCTATCTAACCTTAACTTTCTTCCCCATTTTCATTCTTAACTTCAGTATGGAATATGGCTACTTTGAAATCCACAAAAAATCTGCATACACTGAAGTTTCTTTTACTTGGATTGGTCCTTCAGGCCTGGCAGTTCTTGTTATAGGCCAGGTTATAAGGTAGTAAGCATCTCCCTGGCTTGTAGTTCTGCTGTTTAAGTTGTTCCTTTCAGTAAAATAAGCCTGTCATTTTCATCTGATTGACTGACAAAAAGTCCTACAACCATTTCTGTAACTCTGTACTAGACTAGGTAGGCATAAAAGAATATGAAAAATCACTTTTGAGAACTGGTGTAGCCCATATGTACAGCTCTATCATCTTGAACACATCTCATATTGCCTGATCTGCAAGGTAAACAGAGTGGAGGTCAGAACTAATCTAGCCCAATGCCTCATTCATTCATTAATCCACCCATCCATTCATTAATTTTGAGGTTGGATCTGGAAATGTTGCCCAGACTGATCCAAACTCCTAGGTTTGAGGGATTCTCCTGCCTCAGCCTCCTGAGTGGCTGATACTATAGGCCTGCACTGCACCATGCCCACTCAATGCCTCAGTTTAAAGAGGATTTAGTATTGTTTAGGCTACTTCATCAAAATTTATCCTCTGTGTTTCCTTAACTGCAGTTTTAAAAGACATTCACATAATCACTAATTTAAAACTAAAAAAAAAAGCTCTTGATGTAGAAAAGGCCTGAGTAAAAGATAAATCATAATCTAAAGTTAGTACATCAAAGTTTGATAAAGGGCCAGGATAAAGCAGCTCAATGATAAAATGTCCCGCACACAAAAGACCCTGGGCCTTATCCCCAGAACTGCAAAAACAACACAAAATTTGTTTGATAAGCCTCAAAATAAATCTTGAATTACCACCTCTGCCCTTCAATGATTTTCCCTTTTAAAGTATCATCTAACCCCTTGCTCAGAACTCTACATGCCTTATGATGCTACTACTTCTCTTGAGAAAATCAACTAGTTCCTCTCAACCTGATCTGAAATTTTACAGCCCCTAGAAAGCTTTCAATTGGGCATTGCCTCTACAAACACTCCACTCTTTTCTAGTATCCAATAACCAAAGTAACCAAGGGAGTAGTTTACAATTTTAAAATGTTCCAAAAACAGGGGCTGAAAAATGATAAAGTTAAGACGAGGGGGAAATGTTGGAGTTTCAAAAACAGAAAAGACTTTCTCATCAGTGAATTGTAAGAAATGTTAGCAGCAATCCTTATTTATACAGTTTCAACATTCTTAAACATAAACCTTTGACCAGTAAGCTGAGTTGCATGACCCCGTTTCATTAGTTACTAGTAATGGTACCTACCCAGTATCTCCCAATCCATGAAGAAAAATAACCTAAAAGAGAAGAAAAATAATCAATGCCTAAGTAAGTACACAGTGAACTGTTGTTACACATTGTAGCTCTGGGTAAAGGAGAAAACTGGTATAAAGGTGTTTGAAATCTATGACAGAATTTCAAAATATTATATTGGGCAAGCTGATTAATCTCTATAGAACTCTTTTTAAATGGCAAAAATACGAGTCAACTTTTTATTTCTCTCTCTCTCTCTCTCTCTTTTTGGGAAACAAGATCTCTTTATATAGTCCAAGCTGACCTGGAATTCAGGATCCTCCTGCCTCAGCCTCCAGAATGCTGGGATCACAGGCGTGCCCTACCACTCCAACTAATTTCTCTCCCTTTATTTCCTAAGATAATTAAAAAAAATTTTAAGCACTTACAGGTCCCACTAAGACAATCTCAAGTGCAAATCATCACGTTCTAAGAAAATTAGTTTGTCTTTTTCAAGTCAAACCACGAAAGTCTCACATATACGGCATAAAAAGGAGTTTCCGGGAGCAAAAGTAAGTTTGAGATTCTCATAGGAGAGTTTGTAAAGCCCAGCACGTCTAATCTTTGAAGACACTAAATCTCAACTTCCTTCATCCAGGACAAGCGCGCAAGGTAGGACACGGGCGACTGGCTCTCTGGAAGGCTTGGATTTCCTGCTGCACGAACAGTGCAGAAACGTCGGCAGGACCCGGTGTCCAGGCTGGGCCGCAGCCGGGGTCGGTCCTCCGAGCGGGCGACCCCGCGGCCCCACAGCACAGGCCGGGCCGCGCTCACCACCCGCCCAACCTGGGCGTCCCCATTCACCGGTCGGCCCGGCCTAGGACGCTGGCGAGGGGTGGTCACCCGGCCCACTGGGCCCTACGAGACCCGGTTGCCACCACTCACCGCGGCGGTGGCCTTCCGGGCGGCGGGCACGACAGCGGGCATCGGAGCAGACATGTTATTGCCGCACATCCACCGGCTCCGCGGACAGCGCGTCGGAAGCGGAAGGGAGAGCGGGGGCCCGGCCGCGGCCCAAGGGCGTGCGAGCCGCGAGTCCCGGCCCGCCCCACCGGGCGCGCGCTCGGGCGCGTGCGCGCCAAAGCGGCGCCGCGCCGCAGTTCACCGGCTCCGCGCGCCCGCCTCCCAGGCCCACTGCCCTGCGCCTCCTCCACGGCCGCCGCCGCGCGTCACAATGTCCCCGCTGGTCCCTGCGCGGGGCCGCGCGCGGCCAGAGCTGACCCCTGCCCCACCCCTTCTCTTTCCCGCGCATGCTCGGCGCGGCGGCCCGAGTCGCCCTTCGCTGCCCCCGGCGTTGTGCAGCCCTGGCCGCGGGCTGGACGGTGGAGCTAGTTTAGGCTTCTGCTCTGCAGGCGCTGTAGCAAGGAGCGGGAGCCCCGACGCCCTTTGCCCCGATTCCACGTGTGCCTTTGCTTCCTTCTGCCAGAATCTACTCATTCCTAAAGTCAGAGGGGTCGGGTTGGGAGGCAACAGTCGAGAACCCACAACTTCCCTAACCTAGTCATCACTATTTACTAGCGAACGGTATTGATCGCCACAGTACCGATTTAAGCACAAGATTAGACTGGTGACGAAACGTCAAGGCTATATCCAATCCTTAGGGAGCATTGGGTAAGACTGAGAAAGAGTTGATGAGCAAAAAACCACACTCCACACGATAACCACTGTACTGCGAGATCTGGGGTCTTGTCCTGAACCTGAAGAGCGAGAATTTTGTGGATTCAAAAAATATTTTGTTCAAAATGATAATAATGGAACTCATATGACTTGTACCAGTATGCATTTACATTTCATCGTGATGGTAAAGAGAAAATAAAACTGCCTTTAGCGCTTACATATTGTAAATCACTATTATGTTGAATTTTTCTACATCATAGAAAAAGCAACTCTTGTCAATTTACTCCATCTGTTGGGAGTAGGAGAGCTCAAACTGAGGTACGTAACCTACCTCTTCCCAACACAGTGCCACCTTTTGCTTCCTTCACTGTTTTTGCCTCAGGCCTACAACCTCCCAGGAGCTTGTTTTCACTGTTCTGAATGATCTCTCTCTTCCACAGGTAAGAGAATGGAATGGGGGGGAGGGGAGAAGAGGCAAAATTATTACACGATATAAGTGTACAAAGGAAAACTCAATAGAAGCAATTTTAAAGTTACTAACAAGAAAACAATATACAAAGAAGAATGGTTTTGTTACCGGATGGTCCTCTATAAAGCACTGGTGAGAAGACTCCTAGGCACTTAAGTCTTGTATGAGAATTCAAGCAAGACACGAAGATGTAGTAAAGTTTATTGAAAGTGAGGGGAAGTTACTAAAAAACAGTAGTGTGCTTCCGGCCAGGTAAGAGGTCTTTATTTCAAAGGGCCTTTATAAATTGAGGGCAAATGGCTGGAAAAATCTGGGCGGTCTTTGCTAGATGGGCTAGGGTGATTGACAGATTTGATTGACAAGGTCTTGTCTTACAATATGGGGCATCTGAGCATGCACTTATGTTAACTCTCAGGTATCTTATTGCATGTATTTGGTGTGATCAATATTCATGTTTTAAGCAAAGAGCTTTTACCTGAGAGGTAATAGAGGGAGGAGTTTCCTCAAGGCTTCCTGTCTTACAACCACAGAGGATTTACAATGGAAAAGGGCTCTACAGCTGCTAAGATTTTACAATTGAAAAAAAATTACAACTATAAAGGATAGAATTGAGTTGAGAGTGTCTAACATGAAATGAAATGGAAAAAGTTACGTGGCACCTGAAAGTCCCATGACTTCTTTCCCTATTTCCTAGCTTGCTTCAGGTTTTCTAGGTAAAAACTACAGCTGGTCAGTATATCTAATAGAAGAAAAAATACAATAGAAAATTTAAAATACATACACAGGCAAAGATAAGAAACCACTGTATTGTATAATTGGCATATAAGTAGCTGTGCATATTTATACATTTCAATGGCTTTGCAGAGAAGCATACACCTGTGATGCTCTCACCATCAGGAAGGCCACAGACATATCCATCACCTCCCAAATGTTTCCAGTAACCTCTTTAGCATTATTGTAGGCTTTTAGTTTTAGTAAGAGCACTCAACATAATATCAACCTTCTTAACAATTTAAGTATTCAGTGCAGTATTATTAGCCACTATACTGTGTAATATATATCTCCAGAATTAATTTATCTTGTGTAACTGAAACTCTGTGCCCTTTAAATATCACCTTCCCATTTCTCCCTTCAGCTTCTGGCACCCATCATTCTACTTTCTGCTTCTGTGGACTTGAATATTTTAGATTCCACATGTAAGTGAAATCACAGAGTATTTGTCTTTCTGTATTTGGCTTATTTCACTTTACATGAAGCCCTCTAGGTCTTTCCACATTGTCTTAAATGGCAGGAGTTACTGCTTTTTAAAGGCTGAATAAAATTTGGTAGAATGTATATGCCACAATTTAATCCATTCATCTGTCAGTGGACATTTAGTTTGTTTCCATATCTTTGCTATTGTGAATAATGTTACAATAAATATGGGACTACAGATATCTCTTTAAGATGCTGATTTCAATTCCTTTGGATGAATACCCAGAAGTAGTATGATAGTTCTATTTTTAATTTTTTTGGCAGTACTGTAGTTTGAACTCAGGGCCTCACTACTTGAGCCACTTTGCCCTCCCTTCTATTTTGAAGATTCTCCATACCATTTTCCATACTGGAACTACCAATTTACATTCCAATTGGCAGTATACGAAGGTTACCTTTTCTCCACATTCTTGCCAATACTTGTTGTCTCTTGCTGTTTTGATAATGGTCATCCCAATAGGCATGTCATGATAGCCCATTATATTGATTTTCATACACTTGATGATTAATGGTGTTGAGTATCTTTTCATACCCTCCTTGTGAGGGATCCAACCCAGAGCTCTTGAACATGGACAAGCACTCTTATCACTCAGCTTCACATTCTGTTTTTTGAGAAATGTCTATTCAGATCTTTTGCCTGTTATTTAGTTGGGTTACATGAATTTTTGTTTATTTTTATTGTTATTTTTGCTATTCAGTTGTTTGGGTTCCTTGTATGTTTTAGATATTAACTCATCAGATAAATGATCTTCAAATAGTTTTACTTATTCTATAGGTTGCCCTTTCATTTTGTTATTTTCTTTGGTCTGCAAATGCATCCGTGTAATCTTATTTTGTTAGTTGTGTTTTCATATCATATCCAAAATATCATTGCCCAGACCAATGTCAACGAGCATCTTTCCCGTGTTTTACAAGTTTCATGATTTCAAATCTTACATTTAAGACTAGCATCCATTTTCAGTAGATTCTTGTATACATTATGGGTCCAATTTCATTCTTCTGTATGTAGACATCCAGTTTCCCTAACACCATTTATTAAAGCGACTGTCCTTTCCCCCATTGTGTATTCTTGGTACCTTTGTGAAAAATTGACTTTGTATGCATGGATTTATTTCCGGGCTCTCTATTTTGCTTCACTGATAACGTGACTATTTTTACTTCAGTATTGTACTGTTTCGGTAACTGTAGCTTTGTAGTGATAAAGTGGTCTCGTGTGCTGTACTAGTTGGGAACTTTGTCTCATGACATTGAAGAATGAAAGTCACACACAACAGGGTGAGCAGAAGAGCAGAGTTTTATTAAGCAGAGAGGAGAAGAGAAGAAAAGCCCCTTAAGGGAAGGGTCTCAGAAAGACTGATCTGCTGGAGGCCCCTTTGTCTAGGTGTTTTATAAAGATTCTTATGTCCTGGTTGAAGGGAAGTTCACCATGACCCAATACCATTGGCACATTCAAATCACATACCTGTTTCAACTAGTAGATAACATCAGTCCACTATGTATGCTTTTCTGTCCAACTCTAATTTGTCCTGGGGTTAAATCATGAGTGGTCCACGGGGCTACAGAAGTTTCAAGGTGTCAGCAAGCAGTCTCAAGACTCCCAAATCCTGTTTTTCTTGCCTCTCAGCCAAGGGTAAATTCCCTTAAGTTCCCTTTTCCCTAATCCTTCCTGACCCATCCCTACCGCCTAGCTTCTAGTCTTAGTAGTGTAATTTGAAATCAAGAAAAATCACTTTGTTCTTTCTCAAGTTGCTTTGATTGTTCCAGGTCTTTCACGGTTGCACATGAGTTTTTGGATAGTTTTTCCTATTTCTGTACAAAAATTCCATTGAGATTTTGATAGAGATTGCATTGAACCTGTAGATTATTTTAGGTAGTGTGGACATTTTAGCAGTATTAATTCTTCTAAACCATGAACATGCAACATCTTTCCATTTATTTGTGACCACTTTCATTTCTGTTATCAGTGTTTTAGATGTCATTCTTGGTTAAATTTACTCTTATTTTATTCTTTTTGATGCTACTATAAATGGGATTGTTTCCTTACTTTCTTTTTCAGATAGTTTGTTGTTAGCAATGCAACTAGTTTTTCAATGTTGATTTTAGATCCTGCCAATTTACTGAATTTGTTTATTAATTCTAATAGTGTTAAAAATAAGATTCAGTTTCCAGGACATGCCAGTGGCTTAGCTATGGTGAGGACCTCATGGTAGATGGCATTGCAGTGGCACAGCACTAAGCAAGAGAGAAAGATCACATAGTAAGACAGGAAGGAAGAGGAGATACTCTGTTTATGATTGTATTTAATGTCAGACCCATCCCAAATATTTCTCAGTAACTTTAGTCAAATAGAACAAAGGACCAAGTTTTTTAAAAACACAAAGACATCATAAAAATACTGAAAGACAAAAACCATACACATCTTAATGGTGTTTATAACCTTGATAAAACCATAAAGTTGTCCACTAAATGTGTATTTCATGCTTTTAATATCTGAAGGCTTTGCAGTGTTGTCTCTGCTCTCATTCCTAGTATTAGTAATTTGTGGAATGAAAATGAAAGCAAAATTTGTGAGCTGTAGGTAAGCAATTCTAAGGGGGAAATTTAAAGCATTAAGCACTTATTTTAGAAAAGACAAAAAGTCTCAATTCAGCCACCTAAACTCAAGGGAAGAACTAAAATAAGAAGAGCAAAAGAAAATCAAAATTAAAAAAATAGCAAAAGGAAGAAATCAATAAAATAAAAAGAAACTAATTAAATGAAAAATAGATTATTTGAGATCAATAGCGTTAATAAACCGTAAGACAGATTATCAAGGACTTGATAGAAGTATAACAGGGTCTATAACTATATATATATAATATTTTATTTCATAAGTTGGGTGGTAGGCACACAGGTATTCAGTGTATTTATTTACTTTTAATGTATAAGGAAAATGGGCTTTTGTAGCTCACGGTTTTGGAGGTTCCAGGACACGGCACTGGTTTAGCTATGGTGAGGACCTCATGGTAAAGGCAACCACCAGAAGAAGCAAAAACAGAAAGTTAAAGTGATTGCTTTATGGGGTATAAAAATCAAAACGAGGTAGGAACTATTGCTTCTCATTATAAGCCCTTCTGTACTATTTGACTTTTTTCATAATATATGTAGCAATGACCATATTTTAATAAAAATTAAAACAAAACCCTATCTAGAAGTAAATCAACCTTTAACTTGGGACCAATCATTGATAAAATAGGTAGGTTTTACAATAATAACAAGTATTTCCAGTTCCATATTTATTTATTTTTGATGGTGCTAAGGGTCAAACTCAGGGCCTCGCGTGCTATGCTAAGGCAAGTGCTCTATACTGAGCTACACCTCCAACTCTTCTAGCCTTTTCTATGCCCTCTTCATGACCCTTTCTCAATATTAGTTTTATCCCACTATCAAAGAGATTCACTGTTCTCTTGTTCCCAGATTCCTCCTACCTTCACTAACGAACAATCACTTCTCCAGTTGTTTTGCACCTCAGTGTTGATTATCACAAACCAGCCTGTTCTTGGTCTAGTTCTACAACTGCCTTGTTCTTGGCTTATAGTAATATTCTGTAATAATCTAACAACTGAAAACTTTTCCTCCTCCTGCTCATATCCCTGTTAGAATGTTTGGATATTGTTTAATGAGTTATCTGATTTAGGAGAGATGGGATGGGGGGATTATATGTTCTTGTTGGTCTTTTTTTTTTTTGAAACAGGGTCTGTCAAACTCACAATCCTCCTGCCTCCACCTCCTGAGTGCTGGAATTACAGGCTGTGCCACCAAACGCAGTTTTTTTTTTTTTTAAATCTTAGTAACAGAGGATTACATAAAAGATAATGCTTCATTTTGTAGTATATTATTGTTCATGCAAAGCACATCCTGTGACAAACTTACTCCCTTTTATTTTTAATCCCCCACTCACATTCTCTGTTTACTTTGGGAATTTTAAAAAATAAGCTCATAAGAATTGATCCCTGTTAATAAGGATTAGGCACTAGTACAGATGGGGAAAGATTATTTGGAAGTGTGTGAGGCCTACCCAAGGAACTTTAAATTGTGTCATCTTTACACAGTTCATTTCATTCTCTTATGTAATGATTCAGGAGTCACTATTAACTGGGGCGGCTGGAATCAGGCTAGACCTTAATTGTTGAAACAAACCTTTCCTAATTACAAGTCCTCCTTAATTTGATTTAAACAGGGGTTAGAGCACCCCAAGTATGTGGGTGTGTAATAAATACTAATTGTACAATAACAATGATGACATAGACTTAAAGGATTGCTCACTTTTTTACTGTACTCCCTTAATTTATATTCTTACAACACAGATGAAACTCTTCAAACTATTCTGAATTTTATATGCTTAATCAACACATTGAATGTGAGATAAACAAACATGTAACCTACAATTAACTGCAAACAATTATTATTTTCACCCATAATATTACATAACCCACACAACAAAGATAATGTCTACCTCTGAGAAGTGTCATACATTACATTTCATGTATTGCATTTACTCAATATGAATTTTTACCATGATAAAGATTATTGGTATTAATTCTCAATCAGAAATTCATCATTCAATATAAATAATGATTTTGTAGCGAGAACAAAATCATGTATCTTTCTGTAGATTAGGCACAGTTTGTAATTATATTTTGCAATGTTCTTCCCACGGGTATGAAAGTTCTAATAAAAAAGATTATGGGAGCTATTGGATTAATAATTAAGGGCAGGAACTAGCTTTTTTTCTGTTTTTTTTTTATCATTTTTACATTTACTTACATATGTATACATGGTTTACACCACCTCTCCCCTCGTCCCGCCACATATCCCCTCCCCTTCCAGGCAGAACCTGGTCCGCCCTCTTGTTCTCTGATTTTGTTGAAGAGAAAACACAGGAGATAATATGAAAGACACAGTGTTTTTACTAGTTTGGGATAAAGATATCTATACAAAAAGATTCCTAGTGTTGCTTCCATGCACTTATGTATTGCAACCCACATTGGTTTGTTTCTACCAAACCTCTTCCCTACTTCCTGGTTCCCTTCCCACAGTGGCCTCTGCCAGTTTAAGATTACTTTATTTGCTCCTCTGCAGTGAGCGCATCAACCATATTCAAGTTTGCGTTCTCCCCTTAGTGTGTGACCCATGTCTAATAATATTACTGCATTGTTTTAGATCTATAATCTGCATTTGAGGGAGAACATGCAATATCTGGCTTTCTGAGGCTGGCTAACTTTGCTTAAGATGATGTTCTCCAGTTCCATCCATTTACCTGTGAATGACAAAATTTCATTCTTCTTTGTGGCTGAGTAAAATTCCATTGTGTATAAATACCACATTTTCTTAATCCATTGGTCAGTAGTGGGGCATCTTGGCTGTTTCCATAGCTTAGCTATTGTGAATAGTGCTGCAATAAACATGGCTGTGCAGGTGCCTTTGTAATAACCTGAGTCGCAATCCCTAGGAGTGGGATTGCTGGATCACATGGCAGATCTATGTTTCGTTTTTTAAGAAACTTCCATATTGTTTTCCAAAGTGGTTGATCTAGTTTACATTCCCACCAGCAGTGTCTGAGGGTTCCTTTTTCCCCACATCCTCACCAACATTTGTTGTTGTTTGTGTTCTTGATGTTAGCCATTCTAACAGGAGTGAGGTAGAATCTTCATGTGGTTTTGATTTGCATTTCTTTTATGGCCAGGGATGGTGAGCATTTTTTCATGTGTTTTTTGGCCATTTGGACTTCCAGGAACTAGCTTTTATTTTTTCTATTTTCTGTTTCTAAATAGAGTCTGGGCTTTACCTTCATATCATCTGACAGATTTACAGAATTCATATTTATATTTTTCTTCTAATTTTGCTAGTTTACAAGAGCCTACTTTTTATAACATTTAAAAAACATGTTTTTTGGCTGGATACTAGTTGTTCATATCTATAATCTTAGTTACTTGGGAGGGTGAGATGGGGAGGACTGTGGTTCAAGGCTAGCCTGAGCAAATAGTTTGGGAGATCCTATCTCCAAAATAACCAGAGCAAAATGTAATAGTGTAGCTCTAGGGGTAGAGCACCTGCTTTGCAAATGTGATGCTGAGTTCAAACCCCAATCTCACCAGAACAAAACAAGAAGTAAAAACCCATCTGATATTAAAAACTCTCCCTTACTGAACTTCAAACAACCTGTGAGTGTGTGTGTGTATGTGTGTGTATGTATACATGCTTTTGGGGGGAGGGCATACTGGGGTTTAACTCAGGGTCTCATGCTTGCTAGGCAGGCACTCAAGTTTTTTTTTTCCGAAAGAGTCTGGATATGAAGTCCAGGCTGGCCTGGAACTGGAAAGCCTCAATCGTCCTGTCTTTGCCTCCTGAGTGCTGGAATTGCAGAAGTGTACCACCATACCCCACACCCATTAATGTTTTTAGTAAGTTTAGTGTTGCTCATAAATATTCCTTAAAGGAATGAATGTAATCTTTTCTTTATATACTATTTTATACCTGATTTAAAGTAACTTCAGAAAGTTTAGTTAAACACAGAAATAGCCATCCTCCCAAAACTGTCTCACCTTTACTAACTGTGATTGCTGGTAAGAACCAGCAGGACTAACTCCCCTGCAAAAAAGTGAAATAGCAAAAGAATATTAAAAGAAACAGTCTTTTCTACATTAAAGGCCCCTTAAGACAAGTATCTTTAAACCCACTTATTTTGGGAGTTAAAATAATGTGTGTATTTGAGACAGAAATCCAACTTATGAAAATACTAGTTTTATAATAGGAGGCAGAGTCAAGTTTGAATCCTGGCTGTGCTGCTGGTGGTGAGGCCTGGGTCTATCTCCCTGCCATAGCCAAGCCTTCCTCACCTTGTCTGTAAGCCGTGGGACATCAACCTGGAGGCTGGTTTAGTTATATAAATCAAGTAAGGCTAATTTCACACGGCTCTGGCATATGCCAGGCGCTCAGAATGGTTCCTACCATTAATATTAACTTAGTAACTCAGTGATTTCACCTAAAGCAATACGGACGCACACGGCTGGGAACTCAGCTTGACTCTTACTCAAGTATTATTACAGCCAGCATTTTAATAGCTGGACTTCAGGAATTATTTCCATATTCTAAAAGCTAACAGCACGGCACTCACAGTATTTCACTCTGGGTTCCACACTGGTCTCAGTGAAGACGTTGCTTCAGGAGACATTGTTTCTAGAACAAAATACGGAAAGCCAAATATCGACTGAAAAACATCCTCTTTTAAGGCACAGCGTTTTGGTTGGAGGAAGAGAACGTTTTCGTTCAGGATATAGAACAGGGGCTGGGCGACAACACTGACGTCTCAAAATTACCACGGCCTCCGCTGGTTAGTTCACAAGCTTCCCGCACAACCCTGCAAACTTGAAGTCGCTGCCGCGGCCGACAATTCCCGCGCGCAGCTGCAGCACGACAGGGGCGGGGCCGCGGCCGTAAAGCAGCCGGCCGAGAACACGTGGTCTCGGAGGAGGCCCTGGGCGCCCTTGGAAGTCCTGGTCCTTGCGGGTCATGGCCGGTCCAGTTCAGGGTGGTGGGGCCAGGTCCTTAGATCTGCTCCGCGCCTTGCCGCGTGTGTGCTTGGCCAACTTGAAGCCCAATCCGGGGTCCAGGAAGCCGGTAAATAGCTGGTGGCGGTGCGGGGGGAGCGCTGGGGACCCGGTCGATGGCGGCGGCCTTCCATTCCGTGTCACTGTGGAGAACTGCTTCTCCAAGAGTGTCGGAGCGAACACGGGGGTGCTCAGCCCCTGTCCCCTTCACTGTCCCGCGAGAAATCTTTCTGCGTGCCCCCAGTTCTTAGTAAGGCTTACATTCAAACGCATAAAATTGTAAATTGGGCAGAGGAACAAACACGCAGGAGCCTCAAAATTGGATTTCAAATGAAACGCTTTCCTTAAAACTGTCTTATTCGTCATTATAACGATCCGAATTGATTTATTACGTCAGCTGTCGCTCCTGCGACCCACTAAATACTGCTTGAAAGCTGTTAATGGGGACAAATCATGCTTTCGTGAAGTGATAGGAAATACGTTAAGGAAAGATTTTTCTCTATATATTTTATTTCAGATAAAATAATGTTTATGGGTAAAATCACATGTTTGAAGTTAATCCCCAAATAAAATCATTTTCTTGAATAACTTTGTTGTGAATGTTTAATTCTAGAATTTTTTTTTTTTCAGTTATAGCCTATTATAAAACCCTTGGGCTAAAGGCTTGGCTCCAAGGTTAGAGCACCTGCTTAGCAAGTGGGAAGCCCTGAGTTCAAACCACAGTACTGCCAAAGAAAACCCCCCAAAACTTATTATTTCCATCCCATCCATGGAACTTTGTCTTTGAGAAAATTTTGTAATTTGGTTACAAGAATGAACAACATCCTCTGAGACAAAGATGCTAATAGAGTATGTGGATGTTTGAGCAGATAGAACAGTGCTGTACACAGTACCTTAGCTAGTACTGGTTGGATGAATGAAGGGCATAAAAAAATACACAGCACAGAGCTGAAATACACTTTTTAGGAATGTACCTGAAGATTCCAAAACTCTTCTTTCCTTGTAGGAGAGACGTCCAAGAGGTCGGAGAAGAGGTAGGAAATGTGGCAGAGGTCACAAAGGAGAAAGACAGAGAGGAACCCGACCTCGCCTGGGCTTTGAGGGAGGCCAGACTCCATTTTACATCCGAATCCCAAAATATGGATTTAATGAAGGACATAGGTAAGGTTGCTTTGCTTTTTAAAATCAGCTCCCTAATTTCCACTGAGCATCACCTAAGAAATAATTCGGTAGAAATTTTAAATTCACTTGGAAGCAAACTTTTGGTACTGTTCTCTGCATGGTTTTTGGTAATGAAACTTAGCCTGGTTATCGGGGGAGGGGGTGCTCAGACCTGCACACTGGAGATGATAATGTCCAATCTCGTGATTCTTTAGAGAATTAGCAATTTACACACACACGTAGATCCTATGTGTCATATATATCATTGTAGTCATCCAGTGAATGATAGCTATCATTTATGTTCCATTACTGCGTAATTTCAGATAGTGGTCTAAGTTTTCCACAAATGTGTTTGCTTATTTGTGTATACCAGTGAAGTAAATGCTTAGAGAGGCAAGTTCTTTGTTTATTGGAACAAAGAAAGTATTGTTACATGTCTGTGTTATTCTCAGGTTTTTATTTTTATTTTTATTTTGTTTTATATTTTATTTTTGTGGTACTGGGGTTTGAACTCTTGCTAGGCAGGTGCTCTACCACTTGAGCCATTCCTCCAGCCCAGGTTTTGATTTTTTTAAGCCGTGAAAAATGATGGAGGAAAACATAGAACAAAGCTTTGAGATGATTTGGAGAAGTTACAGGAAAATTATTTGTATGTTGTAACTATTGTATTCTTGTCTCATAGTTTCAGGCGCCAGTATCAGCCTTTGAGTCTCAAGCGACTGCAGTATCTTATTGATTTGGGTCGAATCGATCCAACTCAACCCATTGACCTGACCCAACTTGTCAATGGGAGAGGTGTAACCATCCAGCCACTTAAAAGGGATTATGGGGTCCAGCTGGTTGAGGAGGTAAGCCTGGATTAGATCTTGTGGTGTTACAGAGGTATTTTTGATTTCCATATACAGTAGTCCCTCCTTATCTGTGGGGGGATAAATTCCAATTGGATGCCTGAAACTCTAGCTGTCACCAAGCCCTATATATACTGTGTTTTTTCCTTTACATACATACCTATGATTATAATTAATTTATAAATTAGATACAGGGAGAGGTTAATATAAATAACTTGCTGAAGATCTTAGCAACCTCAGCACATGAGTTTTTTTCTTCCCTTCATAGGCAGAGAACTTTTACCTTGTCACTTCAGGGAAATACTTTATGGATCTCTTTGTCGTGTTCAAATTTCCATAATCACTACTCTTAAGCTTTGAGGCCATTATTAAATAAAATAAGGGTTACTTGAACACAAGCACTACAACACTGTAACAAACTAATGGGTGGGTAGAATATGCAGTGTGAATATGGTGGAAAAGGGGATGATTTTTGTTCTGGAAAGAACAGTGTGAGACTTCATCATAGTACTCAGCAGGCAATTTAAAACTTATAAATGGCTGAGGATGTAGCACAGGGGCAGAGCATGTTCAAAGCCCTTGGGTTTGATCCACAGCACTGCAAAAAAAAAGACTTATGAATTGTTTTTTTCTGAAATTTTCCATTTGATATTTTTTGGACCATGTTTGACTTTGGGTAAATAAAACTGTGGAAAGCAAATCTGAGGATAAAGAGGGACTACTGTATTAAGATTCCACCTCCTTTATTGTAATCCAGTAGGAGCTGTGTTCTTAGGCATTACATAGTGGTGACTGTTTGATACCCAGCTATGGGTTTGGAAAGCTGACATAGTCTCTTGGCAGCATCTGTCCCTGGTCCTGGAATATGCCCTTCTGTATTGGCACAGCTTGCTCCCTTCCTTCCTTTGGTTCTCTTCTCACATATCAACCTATCAGGAAGATCTTTTTTGACAGCTTTTTATAAAAGAGCATCTGCCTCACCCTTGTAGTCATACCTGTGTCTGCTTTACCTTCTCCAAAGTATTTTTCTTTGAATAATGAACACCTGGCATTTCTTACCAAGTTCTGCATCCATGTTTCACTGTCTTCTTTCACTGTCTTTACATGTACAGCTTTCACTTGTACCTCGCTGAGTGTAAGCACCTATGAGGGCAGGTTCTTTGACTTATTGCTGTGTTTCCAATATTGGAAATACTGGTCACTAAGTTAATATTTATAGGGGAAAAGAATGAATTAAATCCCATTCTAACTGGAGTGAAGTTTTCTGTTAATAGGAATTGGTCAGGAGTTCATAAACAAACTTTTGTACACTGTTAATCAACATTGTTTCTTCTGTATAGCTAGGTAGATAACTTAATGTCCACTAGAGGGAAGCCTGTGTTTATGGAAAAACTTAGATTCCTTTGAAAAAGTGAACCAATGGATAAAAGCTTTCCAGATGAGATCATTTGAAAAGAGAATACCCAAAACACTATTAAGCCTCAATAGTCTACTCTGGTACATAAGAAAATAGATATATATCTTGTATATGGAAAAATTTATGACCTTGTCAACTCTTAAAACTTACATTCTAATACTCTTCAGGTGTATCTGTTACACTAGCAAAACACTCTGAAAACAATACCCCAGGGCAGTGGTTGGATAAATGTAGTCACACGTCATTTATAGTTCTGTACATTGTTTACCTTTTCTGTATTTCAGATTGCAAGTAAATAGTGGATAATAAGACTGTTTTGACTGGTTGGCACAAGATGATCAGTTTGGGAATATATGTTCTCAAGGGAAAATACACCTTCCTGAAAATGCTATTTGGAAGACAGAATACTGGAACAGACACTAGTGCCCAAGTATAGGCAATTAAATATCACAAATAACATATCAAGGCCCGATTTTTTTTAATCAAAGGTGCCACTGATTATAAAACACACCAATATTAGATAAAAATGTGAGGAAATGCATCTTAGATTTGATGGAATGTTTTTGAAATATATGAAAAGTTCATAATTAATAAAAGGAGGCAGATTGCTTCAACTCCACAGAATAGCAAAAATATGTATTCAGCCACAGAAGACTGGTAATGCTGCCATCTTTTTATTTTGAAATAAATAAAAAGGATCTGTTTTGGAAGTCAAGAAAAAATTTAACTTAGCCTGACTGATGCGACTAAACACATAACTTTAAAAAGTTCAGTACTACATTTTCTGGTGTTAAACGTTCTAGGAAAAGGTATTATATATATATATATATATATGTATGTATACGTACATATATATGTATATACACATACATACGCACATATATACACATATACACACACACTTTCAGCTTAGAGACTGTAATAAAATCAGTAAGAATGTGAAAATCCTTTTTTCTACCTTTTTTTTCCTAGAGAGGGCTGACCTCTCCAAAGTTCAGATAGTCTCAGATATTTTGTTCTTCCACCTGCTCTAGACCCCTAATCCCCTTTAGCCTCCTCTTCCTTACTTAGGGATAAGGAAGATAAGTGTTTCTATCGTGCAACATAATGTGATTAAGAACAGATGCTGCCTGGGGAGATCTGTGGCTCATTGGTAAAGTGCTTACTTAGCCAGGTGCATGGCTCTGGGTTTGATCCTCAGCACTGCAGAAAAAACCATACAAACCAAAACAGTCCACCTCAAATACTGTGACTAGACCTCCTGGAGTAGAATCTTAGCTCTGTGATCTTTGGCAAATTACTCAACCCCTCTGTGCCTCAGTGTCCCTGTCTATGAAGTTGGTATAGCAGTAACCTCATCATGGACTTATAAGAGTTAAACAGTCTACTACTAATGAAGTACTAGGAATGGGTGCTTATATCAGTTTTGTTAAATACAGTGGTGAAAATAGAGTCATTCTACTTGTAGGGATTGAGAATTCATAAAAACAGGGTATTCTACAAAAATGTAGAAAAAAATTTAATAGGACCTCAAAGCAGAGATAGTTAGAAATGGGAATTGCTATTACATTTTAGGTACTTTGGAGGGGAAAATACAATTTGAAAGGGAACTTGTCCTAGTTAATTTGCTTTTAGCCAAGCGATTTACTAACAGGCTTCATTTTGACCTGTGACAGGGTGCTGACAGCTTTCAGGCAAAAATTAATATTGAGGTACAGTTGGCTTCAGAACTAGCTATTGCTGCAATTGAAAAAAATGGTGGTGTGGTTACTACAGCCTTCTACGATCCGAGGAGTCTAGGTAAGATTGTTTTTGATCATTTTCTTCTTTCTCTTTTTGTCTCATATTGGCTCCTTTTTAAGCCAGTTTTACATTTTATTGCTGCCATGATGCTCAGAGTGTTCAACTGTTCTTTCTGCTGCAGCTTCTTGGTCTTTTTTTTTGATGGTACTTGGTGGAGTTTGAACTCAGGGACTATACCTTGAGCCACTCTGCCAGCCTTTTTTTGTAAAGGGTTTTTTTGAGATAGGGTCTTGCAGAACTATTTGCCCAGGCTGGCTTCGAACTGTGATCCTCTTGATCTCTGCCTCCTAAGTAGCTAGGATTACAGGTGTGAGCCACCGGTGCCTGGCTTTCATGTGCTTGTTGAGCAGTGTTCTCTTGGGCCATAGATCCAGGAGCTTGTACTTCTTGTCCTTGTAGGATTTTCTGAGGCTTTCTTTCTGAGTCTACTTAATGATAGAACATGGGTGATGGATTTGCCAACAACTCATATCTTGGAGAGCTTGGATACCATGCTGCCTGTCACTTTGGGGGCTGCATTACTGGGATAGCTTTCTTTGAAGTCATCCAGCTTTTTCAGCAGCAGCTACTTCTTGCCACAAAGGTCCCCAGCCTTAATCTTGGCCCTAGCTACATAAACTGCTGCTTTTTAAAAAAACATTTGAATTCAGGCCTTTTATTTGTTTATTGTGGAGCTGGAGATCAAATCCAGGCACTTGTAAATGCTAGGCAAGTGCATTACCAGCCCTGGCTGCTGCTGCTTTTTAATTAGTTAGTGAATAGCAAATGTGTTATGCAGATTACATAATACAAAGAATTAACAGTGGAGCTGACAGATAGACCAAATGACCAAAAAGCATCTCAGTCTCTTCCCAGAATCCCCTTCCCACATCTGCCTGCCCAGCATTTCCCCCTGAAAGTCTAGTAGGGGTTTCACACTTAGAGTATGAGGCATGTTTCTTTTTTTCTCAGCCTCTTCATACAATTTCCCCAAAGTAAACAACAATTCTATTTTTCTAGTTTTTTAGTCTAAAATTTGGAGTCCTTTGGATTCTTTCTTTTATATCCTGAATAAATCCTGTGTTCTGTGATTAAACTATGTCCACAGTCAAGCTACTTTCATTTTATTTTCTTTACCATCAAAAGCCTTATAAAAATATTCACTCGTATAATTTTAATTTCCCTCTTATAGATTAACTTAATTTTTCTTATTTTGGTCCATTGCTCATATGTCTTAGGGTGAGCTGGCCTCAGGTATGAAAATGAGGTTTTTTTCTTTAAAATAATTGCAAGCATCTTGGAAGTCCTTTTGGCACCAGTAGGATATTTTTCAGCCATTATTACCACAGAGTATGGTAATGGTGTTTGTTCACCAGATACTACCTAAAGCTGTAAGCTACAGTCTTGGGAGGCATTGTCACCCTTGAGACTATTGTGCTCGGCTATTCCAGACAGCTTTTTGTGTTCTGGGAACCTTTCATTAAAAAGATAATAAAAGTGATAGGAGTGGTGCATGCCTGTAATCCCAGCATGCCAATGGCTTGAGGCAGGAGGATCATGAGTTTGAGGCCAGAAGGCTATACAATGAGACTCTTGTCTCAGCAAAATTAATTAATTAATTAACCAACAATAAAAGAAACCTAATCACAGGTTTACTATTCAGTTGTAATTTTTGTCTCTGAATAATTTATACTTTAGTTTTCCACATTATGGGAAAATTTTAATGCACATTTTTCTGCTCTTTTGAAAATTTGCTGCTTGTTGTTTTAAAGAGGAGACTTTGATGATGACTGATGATGCCCTATGATTCTGTACTTTAGTAGTATTAGGAGGCCAGAACCATGTTTTCCTAACCCGTTGGAATGTTGAATGGCTAGGTTCAGTGCCTTAGACATTAAATGAATTTGGGGCGGGAATGATACAGTTCATCTGGTGCCTGTAGACTAATAATCACAAATCTGTTTTGTAGGGACCAGGATTCTTCTCAGCCTAGGTGTTCCCCTGTATTGTGCCTCTTTATTCACTCCCTGATTTCCTTACAAAAACTTTTTGGGGGGTTGGAAGAGGGGATGGCTTATCTAAAGTGTTTTACAAACTTCTTTCTTTTTGTTTTGTTTTGTTTTGAAATGGTGGAGGGGGATGTCTCACTATGTAGCTGGACTGGAATTGGTGATCTTCTTGCCTCAGCCTCCCCATTGCTGGGATTATAGGCCTGTACCACCATATGCAGCTCAAAGTTTTTGCTTAAATATGTTTTGAAGATAATTTCTAGATGAGTCAAGAGTATCACATACTTTATTTGTTTATTTATTTTTGGCAGTACTGGGGTTTGAACTCAGGGCCTCATCCTTGCTGGATAGGCACTCTACCACTTGAACCACTCCACCAACCCAAGAGCATCACATACTCTATTACCCTCTTTTATAGGTGCAGTGTGTAGGATTATTTATTGAGAGCATGAATTGGCCTGAGATGGTTCTGCTTTAGTATTTTTGGTCTTGACCCTTAGCAGGCAGCTTCTAGTTCTCATTTCTATGAGTGGCCTGTCTGGAGTACCTCCTTCTAATGACCACTGCTCATTGGTCCCATGTTGGGATATTGCTAGATAATGAGCTATGTAAAACAGCTGTTAGAGTCTTGCTTTCAGGTAATGTTTAATCAGTGACCAGTGTTTGCTAGACACTGTTCCAGGTGGTAGAAAGTGCAAGAGTCAGAAGTCTCTTCACAGAGCTTATACTAAGTACTATACATGTGTGAATGAATAAGTCAGATAAACGTCATAACTGCCCTGTGACATACATGCTATTTTTTTTTAAGGTTCTCAATGAGTTTTTTTAATGTTTCCAACTAAGGTCAAGTTTCCAACTAAGGTCAAGTTTCCATTGCAAAAGCATGGCAAGTGAGGGCATCACTGTTTTTGTACAATTCTATTTTTGTATTTGGTAATTGTTTTTTAACCTGTCTAAAGACCCCAAGGTGTCTGTGATATTTTATGCACAGGCCTTATTCTTACCTTCTTACCTTCAGAGGACATTTTCAGGTACCTTAAAACAAAGCTGGGATTGTGCAGAATTCTTGTGTTGGTTGGATTCTCATAAGATTTCTTTGCTATTTAATTCATTTCTCAAAATCTTAATGCTTTTTTCTAATTTCTAAACTATTATAGGATGCCTAAATTGAGGATTCTAAATCTTTGACTTGCAGTTTGGACACCTCAGGCTTTTTGTTTTAAGATTTCCTGTTGCTGGTGTGTCCAGCAGAGTTCCATCTTGTTCCAGTATGTCATTCTTACGTGTTTTTAAATATAGTGCTTAAGAACAATGTTCCTATGTGCCTACATTTAGAAATTCATTTATCATTGGTAACGTATTAGTAACTGTTAATTAAAAGAACATTTGTAACATAGTCATTATGTTTAAAGTCAATGTTTACATCTGTTTAATTGTTTTTTTAGAAATTCTGTGCAAGCCTGTTCCATTCTTTCTGCGTGGACAACCCATTCCAAAGCGAATGCTCCCACCTGAAGCACTGGTACCCTATTACACTGATGCAAAGAACCGTGGTTACCTGGCAGATCCTGCCAAATTTCCTGAAGCAAGACTTGAACTTGCCAAGAAGTATGGCTACATTCTCCCTGATATCACTAAAGATGAACTCTTCAAAATGCTCAGTACTCAGAAGGATCCCAGGCAGATTTTTTTTGGTCTTGCTCCAGGATGGGTGGTGAATATGGTAGATAAGAAAATTCTAAAACCTACAGATGAGGATCTCCTCAAGTATTATAGCTCTTGAATTCCTTTCCAGGACGGCAGAGTTGTTGAAGAGTACCAGAATAGGGACTCTCATTGAATTCTTCAAATGTTTAATCTTCCAGATACTGATGTTAGTTGTTGCTGTAATCATATCTCTTTTTCCTTAAAATAAAACTGTAGGAAGCAAGGATGCAAAGAGGAACCAAGTCTGTGAGGGTTGTATCTCAAAGACTCAGATGATTATAACTGATTTATAAATTTGCAGTCCATGTTGCATGATCTTTTCCTCTGAGCTTTGTCTTGTTATTGTTGCAAAGCAGAATGAAAGGGCAAGTGGGATGTAATTGATTAATAGGCTTGCTCAACCCAGGTCAGAGCTGGGGCTAATGAGCTGGTGGTTTGTTTTAATAATTATCCTCAGGGAAGCTCTGCTACCCAGTCAAGATGGTGAGCCTTCCCCAGGGATGGAGACGATCAGGACCTTCAGGCTGGTGAATAGCACTAAGTAGCATCTTTTCTAGCAATATTGGAGATTAGAGGAAAAATTTTAAGTGAATTCATTTTCTCAGTACCCATAAGAGTAGATGATAAAAATCAAGCCATTAGCATTTTTTCTTAAAGAAGATAAGTATTCTACTTGATATAATTTTACTTATCTCAGACATTGGAGACCTTTGTCTTTCAAACATTTCAAATGATTTTGGAAAATTTGTCCAATGGTTAATAAACCATAAAAACAATTGGTAATGAGAAAATTAATCTCAGTTCAAGTGGGGTTCAACTGATCCTCCTGTCTTAGCCTCTCAAGTATCTAGGAGTACAGGTGAGCACCCCTGTACCCAGCTTAAAGTCAGTTAATGTAAAAGATTCAGGAGGTAACTTAGCTTTTCTAAGATATGTTGTATCCAAATCTTATGAAAGCTTAACTTACCTTGAGCAATTGAAATTGATCTTGAATAATTCATGAAAATTCTTCCAAAGTAGAAATAAAATGATTCCTGGCTGATTATTTTCTTAAAATAAAAAATTACAACCCCTGAACTATGCAACATTTTTTTGGTTCACTTTTCCAACTGTTCTGAAGAGGCCTGAAGTCTTTACTTTGGCAGCTCACCTTAGCTGAAAATTATTTTTATGATGGATGAAAAAGAGAATATTACAAAACCAACAAGGAATTTGACACTGATTTTTAAGCTGAAACTTCAACTCAGATTAATTGACATAGGCAAACAGAGAAAATGCACAATGCTTTAATTCTGTATCTACCATTCTGCTGGGTTTGGTAAGTTATATAACCTTAAGTTGGTTCATTCATCAATCTTGGTATGCAAAATATTTTCAAAGGAGAATGGTGGCAAAGCACTGGAAACCAACTAAGAAAAGACATTTACTTTTTCTGTGTCTGCTTTAAAAAACCATTTTGACAGTAAAACATCTTACACTTCCAGTGTTAAGTATTTAGAAAGTTATATTCGAATTGCAGTACCAATCTTTGTAAAATACAAAGGTTATGTAAAATGAGTTGTAAAGTCTCTCAGTTGTAATACTTTCTTTTGCTGAGTTGGGAATTGAACTCAGAGCCTTATGCAGGTGAGGCAAATGCTTTACCACTGAGCTACAGCTCTAGTCCCAGTTATAATACAATAAAGATAAAGATGTTGCTTTGGCCTGAAGAAAACTTTGATTTCAACCCATTTGCCTACAAATGAACTTTCTTAAATTTAAACAAGGAAGTGTGGAAAGAAACCCAGGAGATACCATTTTATGTGCTGGGGTCCTAGGTAGTTATTATCTTGCCTTATTTGTACTTCAGGTTTTCCTTTTCTGATGCAGTTTACAATTGTACTTTTGTGGGCTGGTTCTGCCCTCACAGGAAAAGTTCTTCATGAGAAGTGAGGGAGGAAGTTACTCACTTAAAGGCGGACTGCTGAAGCAACAGCCTTCCATCTCCCAATGTACTTTGAGGGCCCTTGGTTCCCCTCCCCCAGCCATCCAAGTGGAATGACTAAGCTGCCTTGAAAACAGTCATATAAGGAAAAAGAGAGTCAAACACAAGGCTTGCTTGATTGTTGTCTTTGGTGGCCTCCAGGTGGAAGGAAATCAGGATAGAATGATAAAGGGAAGAATGAAAACAGGAAACAGATGTCTGATGATGTATAATGGGGCTGGTACTTATTTGGTAAGCATGGGCTTAGTCACAAACAGCTGTATCCTGGTTGTAGTATTATAATCCTATGCATCATTTTCAGCTAAAACCGGCATGCTCCACAAAATCTGTCCATTCTGTTTAACAAAGGTGATCCTTAATCACTGTATATCACAGACCCAGGTTTATTTGAACTATGCAACCATTCTGGGCTCTAAGATACTGGTGTTCTATGACCCTTGTGCCATTTAGGAGGATAATGGAGACAGTGGATGGGCAGAGTAGCGTTATCTTAAGAGTTCACATCATTTGGAAATCTATGAAAGCAAGAAGGCTTCAGTCTAGATCTTAGTCTTTTCCTGGTACATGGCTTCAGCTGTTTTTATTTTCGTGTGGTTTTTGGTGTGTAAGACCAAAAACCCTTGAGTTAATATACATTTTAAAGATTTCTAAACTGGTGTGACCCTGAATGCCTTGCTGGAGAGATGAAGCATGGGACAACTAGCACAGGCTTCCACCTCACCATACCTGGATTCACTGAGCAACCTGGAGCGGTTCACTTGGGCTCAAAGCAGTACTGGCTTTGTGATGTTGGCATGTTATTTAATCTCTCTGTGCCTCAGTTTCACCATCCGAAAAAATGGAGGATAATAATTGATCCTAATACATTTGGTTATTGAATGGAAAGAAGTCAATGTTCGTAAAGCATGTAGCACAATGTTCAGAACATAAATAAGTGCCTCTGTAGATGTTTGGGAAGCAAGCATCTAATAGTCCTTACGTAGCCACTTCTCTTCTTAAAATTTCATAGTCTGTGGTTAGCCTTTTGTAAATTGTGCTTAGATCTCATGAATGAGAAGAAACAGATACTAAACATCATTTTTACCAGGAGTTAGAAACATACATTTTGAGGATGCACCATGGTAGGAATTAGGAACCAGGAAAATGAAGCTGAATTTCTGACTTAGTCACTGATTTGTTTTGCAAAGCCTTCAGGTCCCATCAATTTATAAAAGGAACCCACCTGTCTGGAAAAAGATACCGAAACTTAGAGGTACATTTTTAACTAATGTTAACTGATTCTGTTCTTTGTTTTTTTCTCTCTCTCTCTATATATATATACACTTAATGTTTTTTTCTCATTCTCACTTAAGATTCTTATCATTTAGGACAGATTTATAAACATCAAAGTAGTTTAAATTTCTTATACCTGGATATACACATTTAAAATATTTGTGGTTTAAAAATATTTAAGTAGAAATAAGATCTACAACTCTGAATAGGAAAACTTTATTTTTCCCTTAAACTAATTTTTCTTTTTCTGGGCAGTACTGGGGTTTATACTCAGGACCTAACACTTACTAGGCAGGTGCTCTACCACTTGAGACACTCTGTCATCTCTTTTTGCATTGGTTGTTTTTGAGATAGGGTCTAATTTTTATGAATAGACCATGATCTTCCTATTTGTGTTTCCCCGAGTAGCTAGGATGACAGGCCCAGACCACCACACCTAGCTGTTGGTTGAGATGGCGTCTGGCAAACTTTTTGCTGGGTTGGCCTCAAACTGCTATCCTCTTGATCTCCGCCTCCTTAGTAGCTAGGATGACAGCCACCACACACAGCTTAATTTTCATTATGATCATAAAACCTAAATTGGTAGTATTAAAGTTTATAAAAGAATCAAAAAGGTAAAACCTGTTATTTCTTCTGACTGTAAAGAGATTATTCTGATAATTCACAGACATCTTAAATTCAGAGCTAGAATTCTTACAACTGCTCTGTGAGGTAGATAGACTTTCCATTTTATACCTGGGGAAAATGAAATACATTTTCTACACTGGCGATGGTGCAATGTAGAGTATGTATGGAAGATACGTACTCTATTTGTGCCCTTCAATGAGCTAACAGTATTAAGATGTCATCTTCCTAAGGCCAAATTTTCATTGTAATTTGGTTGATGAACCTGGTACTATGCATTGCTCTAAATCAATTGTAAAGGTAGCCATGGTTTTGCTAGTTGTTGTAAGTTTGTTGTAAGTCCAGATTCAAAATAAAATCTGTAAGAAAGGAATTCTTACTTCTTAACCAAAGAAGTCAGAAGGGAGCTGTTTATGGTTGCATTATTTTGTCCATGTCTCTCTTTTATATCTTTCAGCTTTGGCCTTTCAATTTGCCCTTCCCCTCTGCTTCCTCCCTGCCTTTCCTATTTGTTGACCTCCTGCCAAACCACTGGAGCCCCATTCCATCATTCAGACAATTCTTTTCTCCTCAAAGACACTGCTTTCTCTTACTGGCTAAGCCCTATGCTTCTCCAGTCAACTCTTGACATCCTCTTTTTCAAAACAGGCGTATTGAGGTATGACTTATGCCATGGTTTGGATCTTAAATGTTCCCAAAGACCCATATGCTAAAGGCTTGATCCCCAACCTGTAGTCTGTTGGGATGTGGTGGAATATTTTAGAGGTGGGCCTTAGTAGGAAGAAGTTAGGTCATTTGGGGTATGTCCTTGAAGGGAATATTGGTACCAAACCCTTTCCATTCCTTCTTCCTTCCTATCTTCCTTCCTCCTTCCTTCCTTCCTTCCTTCCTTCCTTCCTTCCTTCCTTCCTTCCTTCCTTCCTCCCTCCCTTTCTTTTTGGCAGTACTGGGGTTGAACTTTCTAGGCAGGTGATCTACCACTTTAGCCACTCTTCTACTCCCAGCCCTTTTTGTGTTTGTCATTTTTTGAGACAAGGTCTTGCTTTATGCCAGGCCTGGCCAGGACTTCCTCACATAGCTGATATGACTGGCACACCAAATCATTGGTTGAGATGGGGTCTTGAGAATGTTTTGCCCAGGCTGGCATCAAACCACAATCCAGTATATATCTCATTAGTTTTTAGCATGTTTAAAGAATCTAATTATAAGACATTGCCATAATCTAACTATAGGACATTTCCATCACCTCCAAAAGGAACTGTGTGCTCACCAGCAGTCCTACCCATTCGTCCCCTACCTTACCCAAAGACAGTTAATCTACTTTCTGTCTCCTGAGATTCACCCATTGTGACCTT